ATTGCAGGAAGTTTCTGCCGACCGGCAGAATTTAGTGCCGACCGGCACTATCTGGAGTGCCGATGAATCTGATAAAGTGCCGACGGGAATTTTGGAGTGCCGGTGGCAATTCTGTCCGGCCGGTGGTGCTCTGCAGGACGCAAGGAACTTGCTCCAGTACTTTGGCAATTTTCAGAAAGACAAGGCAGTACAAACAGAGGCGACAGGAGTACAGTACGGGTTTTCCGGACGAGGCGGATTCGAGCATGTATCACTCGCGCATCCCGAGGCAGAGGCTGCGGCTACCTTTTTCTTTCCTTCTCCACCTTTCCTTTAAATTAAATTAGAATTTTTTTTTGTTTTGTAATAATTTTATTTGTTTATTATTTGGGACTATAATATTAATTCGAACCCTCTGAGTGAGGGTAAACATGTAATAAGTGTGGGTGAGTGTGTGTATGTCTTCCAATCCCCATTTCTTTCTTCCCTTTTATTTACCTGCTTATGATGGTAGACTAGGGCATATTTAAAATTAGCATACCTTATGCAATGCATGCGTGCATTCACACATTTGTCTTGCATGCACCGGGCTCGGTACATCACGCTAACTGCATTTGTATTTCAATTCCAAATCGAATACGTGCATCAATTGGTTGCATTTCACATGCCATGTCTAGGTTAGCCGAGCCTACTCTAATTGCATCTTGCATGTGTTGCATTAGTCAACTTAACACGAACTAGGATCACGCATGTTTGCTAACCAGTTTATTGTTTTGGCTTGGAGTACGATGTAAGTATTTTATGCTTTAGCATCCCGCATGCGTGTGAATGCCATCGTGACAGTATGCTTGCCATGCAGCTAAATGCTTATGTGTTAAATTGTTTGAATGCCTGTGGGTGAAGGTTGGATTGTTTGAGTTGGAAAAACTCGTTGAAATCCGTGTTTTAGCCTACTTGAGAGTAGCAAATTCCAAAGCGCTTTTCAAAACAAACGGATATGCAATGCTTAAACCGTCTTTTCCAAAAGCCCACTTGACGGTGGCAAAATCTGCATTTTAGCCTACTTGCGAGTAGCAAACCATTTTCAAAACAAACATGAAACGCTTTTTTCATTCCAATTTGAGCGATTTGGTCTATACTTGTTTGCTGCGCGCATGACATAGTAATTCTAGGCTAACAATTGGTTTAAGAACACATAAAGTTTTCAAAAACGATACCACGGTTAGTAGAGGCCGGTCTTCGGACTGGGCGAAAGGCGGTGCTCATAGCTGACCTTCCCCGATCGTACCCAAGCTCCCGAGCCGAGACAACTCCGGTGATGACGGACATGTGGCCTTCGGCACCGAGTCAGGGTTTCCTAAATTTCCCCATTTTAAAAAATATTTAGGTGGCGACTCTGTATCTGGCAAAGCAGTCCATGTTTGGCACTACTTTATCAAAAATCTGTTTCTCAAAACGATTTGCCAGATTTGGACTATTTGGTTCAGATTAAGAACCGTGACACAAATCGAGAGTCCGAACTGTAGCACGAGGCCCACCGCGGGCGCTGTTACAGTTTCTGGCGACTCTGCTGGGGATATTTTAAAATATTTTTGGTCAAATAGACTGATAGGTAGTTTAAAGCATACATGATCAATGTTTATGTGAAAAATGACAAAAATAAAATGGTCGAAACCTCAAAAGTTGTAAAATTTAACTTGTGCTTCATTTCTATCTTCCCTTTCCTTTTCAAGGATCACAAAAAGATCACTACTTTACTACTTGATGATACTACTAGTCCCTGAGGAACGGGTCGGGTTGATTCAGGCCTCCCACACCGTTGTCCGATCGCTGGGCCCATTAAGAAACCTGCACAAGATTCCAACGGGAACATGAGTCTCCCAGCGAACCCTCCTACGAGCAAGTTAGAGAAGAGAGATCAACAGAATATAGAGATAGGATGATAATTAAGAACTTAACCTTCCTTTTGTCTTAGAAACCTCCTTATATCCTTTGTTCATCATTTCCTTGTCCACTCCGACCTGTCATGTTAGCCGAAAGTCTATGCTCTAGCTTGCCTTATTCATGGTGAGGCTGTCCATTCTAACGTGAAGGGGTTATCGCATTTAATGCTGCAGGTAGGGATGGCAATTTGAAACCGGCCCGACTGGGATCCCTGACCCCGACCCCGATTTGAGCGGTTTTTTTTCGAAAAATACCCCCGATGGGGAGAAGACGGTATTTGAAAATCAATCCTCGATCTGTTTCGGGCCGGGGACGGTGATCAGTGTTTAAGCCTCGGCCCGGCCAGATCCCCGGCCCAGTCCCCGTCCCCGAATTTCCCCGAAGTAGAATTACTTTTATACCCCTTATATATATATATATATAAATAAACCAAACCGTGTATCACACATTTCAACTCTCTCACTCTCTCGTTTCAACTCTCTCTCTCTCTCTCTCTCGTTGTTCTCTCTGGCCTCGACCCCCCCTCTCTCTCACCGACGGCGACATCACCACCGCTGCTGGCCCCGACCCCCCCTCTCTCTCTACCCTCTACTCTCTCCCCGTCTCCGCAGCACAGCCGCCACTGTCCGCGAAGCCGGCGTCGCTGTCCACCTCGCACCGCCGCTTCACCTCTGTCGACTCCGCCGTCCCTTCCACCTCCGTCGCTTCCCTCTCTCTTCCTGTCCATCGAGTCACCGTCGTCGCCGTTACACAGAGATCTCAGATCTGTGATTATACTATAGATCTGGGTAATTATCTATAGATCTGATTTAATTTATAATTTCTATAGATCTGTATACATGTAAATTTCATTTATAATTTCTATCTATTGTAGAAAATAAGAAAATACTATAGATCTGTATGTGTTTTGTGTATCTGTGTGTGTTTTGTGTTTTGAATGTTGAAACAGATTTGGATCGGAGGAGTTTCGGGGTCGGGGAAACCCGATCCCCGTTGGGGGCGGGGATGGGGACAGTCATAGGTTTCCCGTCGGGGATCGGGGCCGGGGCCGGAAATATTTTCACCATCGGGGATCGGGGACGGGGAGGGTGATCCCCGGCCAAGCCCCGCCCTGGTGCCATTCCTAAACATTATTGTTGCATAGAGATGATCTATCATATAACATATTGGCCTCTTTTGGGAAGTCCGTTAAACTTTCCGAATTATAACCCTCTCTCTCTCTCTCTTACAAAGCAGCGTATAACCACCTTTTAACCAAAAAAAAATTTGATTATAATCATCTTTTCAAAATAATTAAATTATTGTTGCGTAAAGCATAAAATTTGTGACCAGGCCACTGACACTTATGGGTGCTTACATCATATATTTGCATTTATTTGGTAGTTTTTTTCATTATTACAATGGAACACATATGCTGTTAAAAAAAAAAAGAAAAAAAAAGAAACACAAACAAAAACATATGACGTCTCATTTATTTATAGCTTTTTGTTGCTGCCATTTTGGACATACCACCTCATCTTGTTGGATGCGATTTTTTATTAATAACGTTTCATTTTGTTGATTAAAAAAAACAATCTTTTCGTAGTTTAACACGCACAAACCCACCGATACACAGAGAGAGAGTGGGGGATGGAACTTCAACACTGGATCGATGAGCATCCGTTGACACTCAGTGAAGTGAAGAATCGTGATGGTGTGGAAATTGTTTGCATCGGGTGTTTACAAAACATCACAGGTGGTTCCTCAGCTTATGGATGCACAGATTGTTCGTTCTTTCTACACAAATTATGTGCCAAATTACCCAGACAAATCAAACACCCAATGTACCCAGAGAAGACTCTTACCCTCCACCTTCATCCCCCAGACGAGCCTACCCTTGATCCCGATTACAAACTCGACGACGAACAACTTTCTCTTTATTTCTCTCATAATTTGTGTCCCCGATATTTCTATGGATTCAACTACTTCGAAGACACATCAAGCGCCTATGGGCCATTAACAATAGACATCAGATGTGCTGCGAGATCAATAAGTGTTGAACACGAATTTCACAAACACCCATTAAGCCCCATACTCAGCCCGGCCTTGTTCGGATGTCATGCTTGTTGTACACAACATGATAAAGGCTTGTCCTATATGTGTAGCACCTGTGACTTCTGGATCCACGAGGACTGTGCTTTATTACCAACCACCTTCAAATATAGAGGTCACGTTCACCCTCTCACCCTCTGCTATTCTTCGTTGTATGATGCAAGTTGTCGTATTTGTCAGGAGGGATTTAGGAATTACCAATGGAGTTATCAATGTAGAGGATGCCAATATCATGCTCATGCAAATTGCGCAACAAAGACCAAGTAATCTATAATGCTTTTTCTTTTTCTTTCTTTTAAATGTTGGCTATATCTTTTCTTGTCATTGGATTTGTTGAGTTGGCTACAGATTCTGGCCATGTGAAGAAAAGTAGCAGCCAGCTACATGGTGGGGTACATGGTGGGGAAGCCATGAGGCCATGTGAGTTGGCCATGAGGCCATGAGGCCATGAAGCCTCAATCTGGAAAGCCACCGAAATGGGCTGGCAGCCCCTGACGAATCAGTTAATCTATTCAATCAATTTGTAGAGCAACTCAATGTCCCAACAGTCAATCTAATCGATCAATTTGTGGAGCAACTCGATTTGGAACACGCAAGCAATAAGATAGAAGCAAAGCTCTACAATTCTATTCATAGCCATCCATTGATCCTTTTCGATGTGGATAGTGAAGATAATTTGTGTTCTATGAGCAAACTATCTATTCATAATGATGAGCAAAAAAATGAAAAAATATGTGATGTGTGTGTGCAACCCATCTCGGTTCCATTTTATAGTTGTAGTCATAGTCAATGTGACTTCTTTATGCACAAATGGTGTGTCGAGCTACCCATTGAGATACAACACCCATGTCACCCACACCCTCTCTCTCTCAACAATAGGAGCAGTTATTTTGGATGGTTTACATGCCGAGGTTGTGGCAAACAATGTAACGGATTTACCTTTCAATGTACTACTGATGAGTGCAATTTTAATGAAACTTTCTACCTCGATGTGAAGTGTGCTTCCCTACCGAGCTGCATTGTGCACGAATTTCATGAGCACCCTCTGCGCCTAAGGCCCAATTGTACCATTGAAGGTTGTGTTGCATGTGATCGATGTAACTCAACATTTTCATACGGATGTGGAATTTGCAATTTTCACTTACACAGCAATTGTGCTTTATTACCGCGTACAATTAAGCACAGGTATGACGAACATCCCTTTTCCCTTATTTATGCTCCTATTAAAGATGGTCCAGACGAATACATTTGTGAATTTTGCGAGGAAGACATAGACCCAAAGTGGTGGTTCTATCATTGCATCGATTGCGACCAATCTACTTGTGCTAAATGCATTTACAAGGAGGAAAAAGAATATTCAAATATCAAGTTGGGGATAACTAAAAAATTTAATAGTCACCCACATCCCCTTGATTTGGTTCAAGTGGTGAATAAGAGCTCGATATGTGACAAGTGTGAACAAAAAATTTTTGGGGTTGAAAATGGGATAGCCTATATGTGTGTGCAGTGTAACACTAAGCTCCATGTAGATTGTATTCTCTTCCACGAGATGTTTTGTAATACATAAGTAACTTGAGTAATTAACAGTGCATACATTTATTGACTCTCAATTTTCACTTACGTTCAGTTTGTTTGGGTGGAAGAAAATGTTTTCCGGTGGGGTTACTGACAAACTAATTCCCAAAGCATATGGATCTGGCTTTCCCTCGGATGTGCATGGAACTTGAGATGCTAGCTGCAGGTCAAGATCTCTCCTCCGGCCAGCCGAACTAGCATTGGCGATGGGGGTTGCAGGCTTGTTTTTATAGGAGCGAGACCTTTGATTGTATTAGATTGGGTATGTCAAATTAGAATAGATGAAGTGAGCTCGGGGCCAATGCTAATGTAGGACCCGAGCGGTACCATTCATTGTCTACTCTAGTGGGAGGGAGTGAACGGACTGACCGCTTTCCTCTTATATGTCTCTTTTTCTTTCTGTTTCGAGTAGATTTTATGTCTTTTCCTCCGTTCTTAATATAATACTATGAATAGCCCTTTTATTTTTGAGGGAGGGGTAAACCCAACCCAATCTCAACATTCAAGGGCTTGAGTCAATCTCCTGAATCCGCTGGATCAACTACCACTTAACACTACTGGGACTTAATTTTTTCATATCCCCTCTACAGAACCTACTTTGGAATACAATGAGTTGCCGGTTTTTGAATGAAGGGGTAGTCTCTGCTGCTAGTGAAAGCGGGTACGGTAAGGGACGGGCAAAGGAAGGACACTACTCGACTGGATCCAAGGTCAACGACCCATGGTGGAGAAGAACCTGTGCTTGATGGGCTCGAGAAAGCCTTAGCTTCCCAGGGTTTCCGGACCCCTTAGAAAAGAGATTAAAAGTACACCACGAATCTCTTGTCTGTTGGAGGTGATTATTCTCTTTCTAGGTGGTAGTTTTTAGGTGATTGTTATGCGCCCTTCTCTCTCTGTTTATGCTAATTGAAAATGACCCTAAACTAACCATCGAAAGCGGTTAAATAAAATGGAGAAAGACATGGGGTTGGAAGACATGCACACACACACGCACACTTATTACAACATTGTGCCCTCTCGAAGGAGGGTCCAAATAAATAGGCTAAGCTACACTAAGCTAAGCTGGGCTAACTAATCTAATTAAACTAATTAGACTAATTATTACTAATCAAAATAAAGAAATAGCTAAACTAAGCTACTTAATTATTACAATACTTAACTAATAGCAACTAGTTAATTAAAGCAACACCACACTAACTATACATGTAAAGCACTACCTCAGCTCTGCCTTGGGAAGTTAAATATTTAAATATGCATCCACTCGGTTCTCGCCCCGAAAAGCTCTCCGATTTGCTCTCGAGGGGCTCTGTTTGCAGGGTTACACCAGGAACTTTCTACTTCACCTTACCAAACCAATGCTGAGGACTGCACCAGTGGCCTGCCGGCCATGAATGCTTGTTGCCGGCCACCTATCGGCCAAGAAAGTGATATGCCGACCAATAGTGAGCCACTGCCGGCCATCAATGTGCCACTGCCGGCCACTGGTGCTCTGAGTCACCACACTGCAACAGAGCACAAACAGAGAAAAATGGAGGGTTTTCCAGGGGTATGTTTGTACTGTGCCCTTCCTTATCATCTCAAAACATCAAAGGATTGGCACTCTTGGATCCAAAACCACCAATCAAGCATTTTCAATGCATGATGGCCAAAGATCCAAGTTGCACACTTTCAATAAATGCCCAAAAAAAAGACTCAAGACCATCACCTTATCATGCATGATCAAGGGTGATGGAGACAAAGGAGATTGGCTCATTTCATCACTTTGAGTATGAAATAGACCAATCTACCATATGTTCAATATAACATCCGATTGAACACAATGCAATGCAAAGACAGCATGCTTATCTTGGTCATGTTTTACTTGTCCAATTATTGTTTACATATTTTACATTATCGATTAGTCATTTAACCGATTAAGTCCAATGTGAAAGTCCTCTAATTGGAAAGGTGGCCTAAGCTACAACTACCTTGAGCATGAAAGAGGTTTCATGCTGTTGGTTAGTAGAAACCCTCATGAAAGGATTAAAACCATTAGGCATGAATGCCTCAATTTCATGCTCAAGCTAACAAGGGGCTCATGACCACTTTTAAAGAAATTTAAAAAATAAGGAAGAAAAGAGGGAGGTTGCAAACTTTTCAGTGCAGAAATGGCATGAAAAATAGTGCTAAATCATGCAAGCAACACGTGCACAACATGTTCAAAAGCCAAAAACATTAAACTAGTGAAGAACACTACACTAGAGGCATGTAATATCAAGCTTAAATGACCAAACCAGCTTTGGACAGAGCTTAAACATGCCAAAAAAGTGGCCAAAACATGCTGAGATAAAAGCATAGAAAGCAAGAAAAACATGCTCGCACGTTAACCTGCTGTAGCTCGACTTTCTTCGCCGCCTCTCTTTCGGAGGGCTTTGAATTGGTCTCCTAGAGTTCGGACTCTTGTCATGCTTCTGAATCTAATCTCACAAAGTTCAATGTGAGATTGATAAATCACCAAAGAATCCAAATTTGGCAAATCGTTTTGGAAAATTGATTTTTATCAAAAAGCGCCAAACATGGACTGCTTTGCCAGATTATAGAGTCGCCACCTAAATATTTTGTTTTTGGAAATTTAGGAAACCCTGACTCGTGCCAAAGGCCACGTGTCCATCATCACCAAAGTTGCCTCGGCTCGGGAACTTTGGTACGCGGGGAGAAGGTCATGAAATGAGCACCCCCGCTCGCTCGATCAAAGATTGGTCTCTACTAAGAATAATATGTTATTTTATAAACACATGTGATCTTATTCTGATTATTATCTATCTTACTATGTGATGCGCACAACATACAAGTATAGGCTCAATCGCAAGAACTAGAACAAAGCATTTCATGTTTGTTTTTCGAAAATGGTTTGAATTTGCTACTCGTAAGCGGGCTTAGAAATGTAGTTTTGCCACCCTCAAGTGGGCTTAAAACATGATGATTTTGCCATCCTCAAGTGGGCTAAAAACACATATTTGATCAATTGTTCCAATTCAAGTGATAAAGCCTTCATCTACAGGCATTCATGCAGTTTAACACTTAAGCAAATAGCCTCATGGCAAGCATGCTAAACACGGCAACACTCATATCCAATGTGAGATGCTAAAGCGTAAAGACTTACAGTGTACTCCAAGCCAAAACAAAAGCTAGTTAGAAATATGCATGATCCTAACTATACAAAGATGCCTAATGCAACACATGTAATAATGCAACTAAATAGGCTCGGCTATCTAAGATGGCATATGATGGCAACAATTGATAACATGCTTTGAAACACGTATTCAAGTATGTATTGAAATACGATGCAGTTTGAATGATGCGCCGATCCCGGTGCATACAAGACAAATGAATGAATGCACCCTTAAATGGGCTTAAAACATGATGATTTTGCCACCCTCAAGTGGGCTTAAAACTCATATTTGATGAATTGTTCCAATTCAAGTGATAAAGCCTTCATCCACAGGCATTCATGCAGTTTAACACTTAAGCAAATAGCCTCATGGCAAGCATGCTAAACATGGCAACACTCACATCCAATGTGAGATGCTAAAGCGTAAACACTTACAGTGTACTCCAAGCCAAAACAAAAGCTAGTTTGAAATATGCATGATCCTAACTATACAAAGATGCCTAATGCAACACATGTAATAATGCAACTAAATAGGCTCGGCTATCTAAGATGGCATATGATGGCAACAATTGATAACATGCTTTGAA